GGTGCGGGCAGGGCTGGCAGGGCCCGGCGGTGCGGGGCGGGGGCGTGAGCTGCGCAGCCCGTGAACTTGGTCTCACTCACACTTCCCATCAGGCTTTCGGGGGTCTGGTTCTGCCCTCCTCTCACAGCCCGGGCAGGCACTGGGGAGTTGGGAACGGGGAGGCTCTTCCCTCTTTGGCGACTGCTTTTCGAGCCCCTTTTGAACGGGATGTGATTAATCCTTCGCTATACTTGGTTTTTCTTTGTCTGGCAATAATTGTCCCTTAGTTGAGATTTCATATTGGAAATTGACCTTTGCGACCCAGGCATCACCCTGTGGCGGTTCCAAATAGAAGGAGAATCCTCTTGGATGCACCAGAAAGTTGTTTATGGAAATCTGATTTAAAAGGACAGCCTAGTAATAAACTTACATGGTACTGAAGCATTTTTGCTGGGATACGAAGGAGATTTTAAGTGCCCTACTAAACACATGATCCCATCCTGGGATTGCTGCTGTCACAGCTCGCTCTCACTTGCTACAAAGGGTGACAGTGTTTGAGGAAGTTTGAGAGTTCTTGGTGATGTTTCAAATCCTTAATGATGTGGGATCCTTTGAACCAAGGCCCTGCTAATAAAGCTGCGTCTTCAGTAAATCCTGTGCTGCAAATAAGTCCAGTGACAAATGAGTTTTAAGAAGTTCATTCAGTGTCTGAGATGGGGGAAAAATTCCCTGACCTCAGTCTGTCAGACAAGGGAAGCATAAGAGTTGTGCAGGTGATGATCAGGAGTGTGTTGAAGTGTAAATGTATTATTGCACATTAACTCTGTAGTATGAATGTTATGGGAAAACCACAAGAAGTAAATATTGGGGCAGAAAAAAATCCCAGCGCATATTGCATTGAATTGCTTTTTTCCCGAGTGTTTTTGTCCCTTTTCAAGGTCATATGCTGGAAAAAGATAAAGAATTATTTTAAGCTTTTGCTGAGTAATACGAGCTTGTGAAACACATGTCTGTCTGCAGGTTGAAAAGTGTGTTTCAGAATTCTTCTACTTGGGAAACCTGAGGTTGAAGCAGCAGTGTCGCTGTCTTTTCATTGAATTACATCCTTGTGAATGTAATTTAATGTTTTCATACCTTTCTCAATAACAGTTGTCATCTTGTTTTGGTGACTGAAAAAAACAGGATGTTTCTTTAAAAGTTGTGACCACTCTGTATTTTCACGTCTTAGCAAAGTGGATGTTTCTTAATTTCTTTGTTTTCTGTCTATTATCTTAACTTGAAAAATACAGATTTTAGTTATGGTAATTTGCATTAAGCAGAATTTTACTGGTTTTCATCAGGCTTCTAAAAGGAAATACTGGCATCATTTTGAGATTTTCTTGTCAAATAGCTGTATGTCCTAATCATAGATTCTTTGTCATAATACATTCATAAATGTAGAAATAAGGCTGAATCACACTTTTAAAAACTAAAAATGAGAAGTATAAAATGCTGTCCTTTTTCACTTCTCATCACAGTACTACATAAATTACTATAAGTTCTCCAGCCATTTGAAAGAAAAGTTTTGCAGTCATATGAAAAAAAAGTTGTGTACTTCTTAAAAAATAAGTAGTTATTTTCTTTATGTGGGAGATGGAGGAAGTCTTAGCATGGACATCAAGGCATTCTCCTTTCTCTTTTTCTAATACACTTAACGTGTTTTATCAAGTAATTTCTAAGTGTCTTGTTGATGTTGCCTAATGAAGCTGGCTTTTATTTCAGTTTTAAAAGGGTGTATTTCAGTTTAGGTGGGAATTCTTGCTGGAGATAACCTGATCCAGACAGAAACATTTTTTGTCCTGATTTAACCAAATTGGTTATAACTAAACTGAAGGCTCTCTTTTCTGTAGGCAAGTCTTGCTCTTTTGACCTTTGGCTATTGCACCTTTTTCAAATGATGCTACAATATTGCACCTGGCTGTATTAATTCTCTTTGAAACAGTAGCTGTTGTACCGGAATCAACCTTTTCCTGATCCTACGAATGTAAAAGGTTTTGGAAATGAATTTCCTAGCCTAGAATGATCTGTAATGTGTCATAGTCAACTGACAATCCTTCTTGTTTTGATACCTTGTGCAAGTGACCTTGGTACTTTGCAGAAAGATAAAACAATTGGATACCAAATGTAAATTTAGTATATTAGTTTGGTGTCATATCCAGTATGTTCATTAACTTCATGAAGAAAACTTTACTATTCAATAATTGATTGTAATATATTAAGATTTTTCTTCCCTGCCCTTTTATGATATAAAGCCTGTATGAAGCTTATTTTGTGGAGAGCAAGATGGTAGCTTAAACAAGAAGTTGCTTTGTGTTATATAATAGGTGGAGTAACCTTTGAGTTGTTAACTTAGGCTTTGGGATGGTAAATAAGATACTTTTTAATCAGTATAAGACAGTCTTTCTGAAGGTATATGGTAATTTGGGTAACATCTATTTCTTTTTCTTAGAACCAACACAGATATACAGATTTCTACGTACCCGGAATCTAATAGCAGTGAGTAATTAGTCTTTATCACTCCTTTACTTTGGACTTTTAGGAAAT